GGAGCCTGCGTTCCCCTCCTGTTTTCCAGCCGAGCGCTCGCCGTAGCCGACGCCGGGAGGGAGAGGCGACCTTCTGGGGAGCAAGATGAGCGAGTGGGAGAGGGTGTTCCTGCAGAACCTCACCCTTCCTCCACACTGCCAGCGGAGACGGACTCGCCTGCCGGGCTCCACGGCTTTCCGCTGTGTCCTGAAGTACCTGGAAGGGGCTGCCCTCACCCAGGTAGGGGGGACTCGGCTCCGCGGAGGAGAGCCCAGCAGTGTCTTCTTGCTGAGCCCTCGGCTTCTGCCCGCCGCCGTTCCATGTCCCCGCCGGGGGTTGCTGCGTTTGTGGGCCAGAGCCCATAAAGGCGGAGGTTTTGGAAACAGGGTTACTTGTTTTGAGGGGGAACTAGCTGTAAATCTCCCGGAAACACAAATCGGAGCCGTGTCTCAATCCCATCTGTTTTTACCTGCAAATCTGAGTTAGCGTTTAATTAATTTTTAATTTAATTTTTGTTAATTTCTAATTTAGGTAAGCATCTTAAAATTAAAACCTCTGGGTAGCACTTTAAAAGTCTGCTACCCCTTTATTATATGCTTAATATTCAGTTTTCCCACTTTGGCTTTGCTTGTTCAACCCCTGGCTTTCAGAAAGGTTCTCCAGCGATGCACGAAGCTGTACGCGGCCGCGTGCCTGATTTGGGCATCAATTAGAAAATGGGAATTATTTGTCCTCTCTTACTGAAGTGTGTTTTCTGCAGTTTGGGGCCACTGAGCTGGCGTGCCCCTGAGCGGGCCCGAACGCCGGCACCTCCCGTCCTGTCGTGCCTTGCAGGGAGCCGAGTACCAGCTGCGCCTCTCCCTTTTCGACGCCACCTACCACCACTTCTTCCGGCCAGCGATGCCCGCGACGCCCCACCGCGCCCGGCCAGGGCGGCTTTCAACGAGGTAGAGTGCTGGGGGGCCGGGCAGGGGAGCGTCCGTGCCGGCTGGGTTTGGGAGAACGAGAACGGCCCCCTGG